ATTAGTACTTATATTAATTGTATATTATTTACAATTGAAATTATTGCAAATAATTTTCAACAATATGATTTTGTTTTTAAATGATATTGAAATTTATTTGAAATCACAGGTGTTGCACAAAATCATTCTGCACTTTTTATGTCCTCGAGAGAAAGATTACCAGGCTTGTTACATGGTCAGATTTATACTTATCCAAGTAAACGATGGCGAAAGAAACGTCGACAATATTTAATGCATTATTTACATCCAAAACGAGGACTAAGAGGAGATACAGAAGATGGAACAGAAGGTGTAGAAACTATTACACATGTAAATGATGATAGCAAAGATTCAGTAGCACTTAAAGGTAAATAAAATTGAACGTCAAATTATATAAACAAATTATATAAACTTTTATCGATATTATATTATAATTATTTTATTTAGACATGCAGTTTAATTTTTCTTTTAAATGACAAATTGAATATTTTTAGATGAACACAGTAAAGATGCTTGGTATTATGATGAGCAAGATATGTTAGACATGGATGCCTATGAAGAACCTGATCCTGATAGCGATTATGATTATGAAGAGAGTTACAGCAGTAAACGGAAACGCAGAAAAACACGTGGAGGTGGTCATCATCCAGCTCGTAGTCATCCACCTACTACAGATAGTCCAGGCGGCAAACGTACAAAAGTAAATTATAAATTAAATATAATCAGTATATAAATAATAGATACTTTAAATGTAAAAGTTTTCATATAATAAATCAATACAGGATGTCTGATAATTGGATGTCTGACAGAGTTCATGGACATGTAAAGCGGACTAAACTGAGACGGAAAATCCTTTATCATTTTGCAATTTTCGCAATAACAAGATATCAGTTACTAAAAATTATCGAAAATCTTTAATAATTTTTTACTCAAATACTTTACAGAAAAATTGCAAAAGACGAAAATTGTTTATTCTTTTCTCATAGAGCTCTAAGAATTTTTTTTAGAATTTTTTAATACCATATTTTCTCATGTTGTTAAAAATGAGAAAATGTAATATTAAAAAGTTGATAAAAAATTCTAAAAATTCGTAATGATTCGTAAAAATTCTTCTATGAGAAGAAAATAAACAATTTTCGTCTGTTACAGTTTTTCTGTAAAGTTGATAGTATTTGAGTAAAGAATTATTGAAGACAAATTTTCGGCAATTTTTAGCAATTAATATCTTGTTAACTATTGCAAAAATGGTAAAATGGTAGAGGACTTTTCATCTCAGTTTAGTCTGTTCTACATATTCACGAACTCTGTCAGAACATTTATCAGGTATCCTGTATACATATTTTTTTAAAGCTATAAAAACATAAAAATTACATTTTATGTAAATCTTCTGTAAATAATCTGTCTTGTAAATAATCTAAATTGTGTGATTTTAATAATATTTTATTTAATGTAGGGTGGTGGCCGTGGACGCAAAAAGACCAACTACGATTCTGTTGACACTGATAAACCGTTCGTTTGTGACCGTAAGTTTAATCATAGATACAACTACAAATGACCTTCCTGTTATTAGTATATTATAAACTATTTCTATTATCGTTATTATTGTTTTGACATTTATTATTATTATTTCAAATAAGTTACAAACGGATGAATTTTTTTGTTAAAAAGTTTGTTAATTTTGTTCACCTATATTCATATCAATATATATTACATCTTAATTATGATATAGAAGAATCTTTATTACCTTGAGTTTTTTATGATATAAAATATGATGAAAATTTGAAATAAATTGTTGAATATTGCAGTTGAATATATGATAATATATATAGTTTTGAATATAATCTTGTGCAATGGGATAATCTCCAGGCAATGATAATTCAGATACGTAACAAACTATAATGCTTTCTAGTCTTATTTTCTCATTATCGCGATGATTTAATATTGTTTGTTCAGAGAGATAATATATATTAGTATTTGTTTTAAGTCCAAATAGCAACACATATAACGATTTGAACATAAGGATTTTATTTTGCGGAAAATCTATATTATTTTATTTTATTCTTTACTTGAGTATGGGCAGTCATGGTATGATTCTGAGTGCAAGGCAGAGACTAGTCGTTTGTTCCAAATATCCAAAACTTTGTGCATAAAAAGTATACGCTTTTTCATATTTATGCTCTTAAATATTTCTCTAAACTTACTAATTGGATTAAAAATAATTAATTGGATTAAAAATAATGGATATAATCTAAACATTCCATGTAAATAGCTTTATAATTATTTCGTTGTGTTAAAATTGAAGATTTACCATATTGCAGTCTAATTAAACTAATATTTTATCATTCAACTTTTAATAACAATATTTTGTTTTGATTAAAACCGAGCAAATTACTAACATACGGTTATGTCAATTAATCATTTTACTTGGTAATTTACAATCATCACGTAACATTTAAATTCATAATCATAATAAAATTATTAAATCTTGAATTTTACTAACTTTACTTTTGTACAAGACATATGAGAATTTATTATTATGTCGTTTTTCGAGAAACAGTTCACTTATATACTCATTATGCACAAATTTATGGGATTCGATTATATTTAGCATAAGCAAGCAAAAGAAAAAGATAAAAAAAGAATTAGAATAACTCTTTGAACAATTTCGATATTATTTGGAAGGAGTATAATAGTCATTACTAATTTGGTCAAAGTTTTCCAGACATAAAGTCTATGAATTAACTCGAATGTGCCTGCAATCTGTTTACTTCTTGAAACCACTCCTGTTAGACTAGCAGATAATCTAAAGACATTTGGTCTGGTTATACTACGCTCATGTTCTAGACACAATTTTAACAGAGTATTAAACTCATTTGTTGACTATCGAGCTGATGTTACCGGCCCAAATATCTTCGGACTAGCTCTACCTGCAATAATAACAGAGCAAGAATGTACTGGCTCACACTGTAGCGAGCTCATTCTGTAGGAGTACAAGCATCAAGCCTTGCATCGTATTAGTTTTGCTTCTTGGGCTGGAACTCCTTCACTGCTTGTCCACATATAGACTCGTAGGTGGATAGGGATGTGTACTGGTGCGGAAGGTGTGCAAATGCTATCCCTGACCCTGCCCTATCAGCTTTACTGTCCCGTATTACCTCCCTTGATCGTCCGTTAAACAAAAGGTCTGTCTTATCATTGGACGTTGCATTGGATGGATTGCGGGAAAACAGTATTTGCACTTTTGCAGTATGCAGCGCACGGTATAAGACCAGACCCGGTCTGGTCTACCATTACGGTCATTCCCACTCTACTTCCTCCGGTGATCCTGCTAAGGAACTAAGTCCCAGTCCTGCCGAAGTTGAACCTAGGAGTGTTGCAGACACCGCTGCTTCGAACCAGCCAGGTTGGAGCCAAAATCAGCTCAGTTTTCTCACTTTCCTTTAAATCTGCGTTCCTTACCCTGCCTTCCTTAATCTTTGCCTTTCCTCTTCCCGCCGCCTCCTCCATTTGCCATTCTCTTCAATTTTGTCCTAGTCATGCAACTACTCATCCAATAACTTATCCCAATATAACAATTTAATATATATATATATATATTTTTTTTTTACATGTACTGCAAATGTGTGTGCATGCATTGCAAATAAGATATCGTGACATTTTTTTCTTCTCTACTTTTTTAAATTTATATTTTTATAAATATGTATGTGTGTGGAATTTATACTTTTTTGCGATGTTTGATTATATATTATGTGTCAAGCTATTTATATATCATATGGATGATAAGTGATAGTCAAGTCAGTGTGATATAAGCGATTTTATTTTGCATAATTATTTATATAGATCTTTACGTATATACATGTAAGATATATTTTACAAATTGGAATGTAAAAATTGGAATGTTTTAATGAACGAAGCGATAATTATTTGTGCTGCATGTATTTTGCAGTAGCATGCTTTTGAGACAGAATAGTGAAATGTTTTTTATCTCCTTTTAATAGAGTATAAGAGAGAAGAAAAAGATCATCCTATAGGTTGGTATTCTTCGGCGCGATTACGACGTCGTGACTCTTGAGCGTTTTGTGCGTGTGTGTATGCGTGTTTCTTTTTCATTCTCTTCTTTTTCTTTTATTAATAGCTCTTTTTTTGTATTCCTATTTAGCATGATTATAGTTTTTACGAATGAATCTAACAAATGTAAGAGCCTCTTCTTTTCTTTGCTATTTTGACGCTTTTATTACTCCTAGAGCGATTTTGGCTTCCATTCTCCTATTAATGAATGTTGAGGCTTCGTTGAAAAATCAAATAGGTATCTTTCAAGTTACTAAGTAGTTCCAATATGTTTGAAAAGCCGTTTGTTTATACCTGTCTGTACTTGGAATCGATATATCTCGTCGTTATATCTTGGATTTTGCTGCTGGTGATGGAATGTACTGATTGACATATGCACTTTGTTATACTTACATATAATCAGATTTGTTTTCTTTGTTGTAACAGTCGGTTGAATCTTGTGAAATTTAAAATAATTGATTCCGTTATATGAAGATTGCGATAAAAAGACAAATGGGCATTACAGACTACTTATGTGTATATTACGTGTATATGTGCACATAAACAGATGTAGAGCAATTAGTCTGACGTTATACAGAGTGTCCTTGTAATTGTTATTTTTATCGATTTTAAGTCGATTTCTTCTACAAATTTTTTACTTTTTACATTATAACTATTAATAACTTCTATATTAAAAAACTATATTAATAATAATTCTCGAATTAAAATTAACACATTGTCTGCAAGTTGTTATTCGGTTTCTTTCAATTTGAATAATATCTGAAAAAAAATGAATATACAAAATACATATATACAAAAAATGAATGTATTGTAACATTCTTCTGATTTTTATCTGCGTCTCTTATTGTGAGATGTGATAATGAAGTTAAAGGACTCTCTGTATACATTCGGATGAACTGATTGAGTTACAATGTTGTGCAGTATCTAAGTGTACTGTAATTAATTGTAAGTACGAATTTATGTACCTAGGAACTATACTGAGGTACTTTTTTGATACTTACAATTAGATACCGTTCCTCATGTACTGGTTATTTAGGTACTATATTTAGGTACATTTTGGATGATACTTTTCTGTACTAAGGCAACTTTGCTACACACAAGTTTGTATTATACGTTTGTATTTTGAGATCATCATATTAGAAAATCAATTTCGAATAAATATCGATGTTTTTAAGACAATTTGTTACATTAAGTCATACAGAATGTTACATATGTTTTGTTATTTTGATTGTCATTTCTATTTCAACTTTTTTGATTTGACATTAAAAACCGTTAAATTTGTATGAATAATGATCTAAAAAATTAAAATTGAAATTACGATTTATTTTTTTGTTATTATTCTAATAAATTTATTTACACATTCTGATACTGTGTGTTAGCTTTTTTGTAGGCATTTTACATTATTAATTAATTAAATTTATTCAAGCATTTCATTGTATTGTATTTTTAATAATGAGTAAATGTTAATAAATGGATTATTTGAATAAAATTAATTAGTGGCTTTATAAGTGTTTGTTTTATATTTTATATTAAATTTACTTGCACAGAATATTTATATATGTACATATAAAATATATGTATAATAAGTAAATATCACTATATCAAAAGTAAAAGTACCTGTACCTAGATACTTTTAAGATACATTTAAGGTATCTGTATTTAGATATTTTATTTTTCTAGAATTGTGAATTTGTAACTTCGGCAAATTTTTTTCAGAGTACCTGTATTTGTACCTAAGTATTGAAAATAACAGTATTTTGCACAACACTGTCGATTTGCTTCAGATTCTCTTCCGGGAATATTCCTGGCCTTTGTAGATACACTTCGACATAACTGAATCGATTATGAACGGATAAAAAAAAAGAGAGAAAGAGAGAGAAAAAGAGAAAGCAAGAAAGAACGAGTGCGCGCGAGAGAGAGGGGGAGAGAGAGAGAGAGAGAGAGAGAGAGAAAGAGAGAGAGCGACAAAAGAGTCGAATATGAATTTGTCTATTGTTTATTATATAAAGCCAGTGTGCATGGTCATCAGCTTGTGACGGCAAAGCGCAACTGGGTATGTTGATCGGTTTGTGATCAGGTGGTACTCGTCGGGGTCGTCAGAACGCTACTTCCTCGAATACCTCGAGTCCTTCCCCGGCGACGCCTACCGCCGCACCCACTGCGGGAACGGCGTCGCAACCGCAGCAGTCGCAACAGCAGCAGCTGCAATCGGCCGTGCAGACGCCCGTTGCCCCGGCGTCACCTACCATCCCACCGACCAAGGAAGATCATCTCCCGACGGCATCTTCGCCAGGCGGTACCGCCGTCTCTTCGCTGCCGCCCGTGGAAACCGCAGGCTCCACGGGCGGGCCACCCACACCCGGAGGACCATCCGCGGAGAAGAAGATCGGTGGTGGCAAATCGTCGGCGGCGCAGCCGTCCCCGTACTGCGACTTCTGCCTGGGTGATGCACGTGAAAACAAGAAGACCGGTGGTTCCGAGGAGCTGGTGTCGTGCAGCGATTGCGGCCGCTCAGGTAAGCCAGAGGAAAAGATGAAGCGCAAGTACACCCGGCGAGCGAATCACAATTAACTCGCACTGTCGCCGGCGTGCGACGACAATGATGATGACGATGACGACGACGACGATGACGACGATGATGACGATGACGACGACGACGACGACGACGATGACGACGACGATGACGACGACGATGACGACGACGACGACCACGATGACAATGATGATGGTAATCATATAGCCACATGTATTTATTGAAATCAATATATTTCGGATTGGCACGGCGGTGAGAACCATACATTTCTACGGACGGTACTTCTATTTTCTACGTCTCTTTGCGAGCCTATCGCGCACTGCGTTCTGTGCATACATAGCCAAATACAACTCAAAAAAGAAAAAAGGAATTACTTTGTTGCAATATCTTGCGTACGCTTCCTCGCGATACGCGCGAATGTGCGAGGTGATCAGCAGCTTATTTACGGGATGTACATGATTTAGATCCGATTCAGCAATATAAGATTAATTTTAATTTTCATTCAATTTACTGTTTATCATTTTCTAATAGAATTAAAATTTTTAAAGTTAGAAAAAGAAGAACAGTAAATTAAAATTAATCTTTACATTGATGAAACCGAGTCTTACTGATTACTTAGCAACGCGATGATTTAATCGGTAATTCGATGCCGATATATTGAAGCGTTACGAAGAATATTGGGTATATACATATATATAATGTATATATACACGTGTTTATGCTGTATATAATCGTTTATACTTCCATGTTTCAGCTGTTAATATCGTGAAAGACATTAAGTAATTCGTTAATTTTACGAGCAAGCAAGCAAGCAAGCGTACGTGCCCTTCCTTACGCAAAGAGGATCTCGCTGTTCTTCATTCGTGTATTCCAAACGTACCTACAATTGTTAAACGTGCAATCGAGATGTTTAGAATTATCTGTTACATTTGTATAATCCTTTTTTGCTTTTTCGTTAATGCGTTAATCACGAACGAACGGTATATGTACGCGTAGCCGTTAAAAGTGTGAAGTGTCCAATTATCAGCTTTTACAGATCACGTCTCCTTAATATGCCTTAGATTTACCGAGATACGGGGGATAACTTTTTGAGTTGTATAGGGTTACAATTGTCGCGTGACGCATTTTGTCACTGCCGCTGAGGGTAGTAGAAAGCCTGAAAGCCATGCTGTTGCAACTGAGTGCAATAATTAAAGAAGAGAAGCATTCAATTATCTGCACAGAGTAGATCAAACGGTTACGAGCTTTATATACACTAGTCAAGGCGAGGAATACAAAACATCGTTTTGTCAATGGTGCAACTTGTCGCATCTGAGTAATAGGAATTTTCAGGAATTCCTTTACTACGCGAATTTGCTGTGATTTATAGTATCTCAATGATTAGTTCTAAGATATATTGAATCGGTAATTATTACGGGAGAAAAAAAAAGGTACGAAATTAAAAAGTCTTCATCTGAAGTCAAATTTTCGTCGTGTGTGTGTATGCGTGATTGGACATCGGTAGCAAATCGATCGTCTGTTTTTTTCGCAAATTTGTTGAAATTCCTGTTGCACAGTACCACCAGAGCACGTATTGAGGAGGATGTGTTTGTCTTCTGTTTGACAGTGTATTCCGATATTTTCGTTATTGTGTTAGAAATCAAAAGAGAAGGAGGCGATGTACGGCGTGAGAAACGCACCGACAGATTTAGAAGAATTTTAGATGCAATATTTATATATATATATATATATA